CCCCCCGAGTATCCCAACTCTCTCAATTTCTGTTAACTTCAGACCTTTATCCTGACAAGATAAGACTCCAGAACTACCGAACGCTGTTTGGAATTCGTAATAAACAGAATTCAGAGGCCGTTCGGTAGTTTTTTCAATAGAATTTGCCTATATAATCAAATGAAATTGAACAGACAATTTCCGGAATACGAATGAAGCTTTCCTTCACGGGCTATTTGCGCAAGTTTATATTTATTCGTTAATATTTTCAGTTATTATTAGATGAGAATTTATGCTAATTATAATTAATGACTGTGTACATTTGACTTTTACGCCCCGATTACCGTTCGATTTTGAAACGTGATCTTACGTCAAAATTGTAAATATATCTCGCATTATTAATATGCAATTTAATATTAGCGACGTTAATGAGCAATGTATAAAACGAGCGAAAATATCAATATCTGTTACTCTGTGTCACACATACATACATATCGGCCGCTATTTATTTATTTAAAAGTACACATTTATTCGCTCTCCGAAAACTGATGAGAACGAAAGAATATTTAAACGCATAAAGTCTCATTTATCTCAGCATGTTTCCCGAGTTCCTCCAACTTCTTTCAACTTGGCCGCTGTTTCTGATCATAAACTTATTCTCTTTCTTACGTATATAAAGTTCGCGAATCCTTTCTTCTTGCTTTATTAGCTTTTAGTCTGCATCCAGTCGAGATATTGGACGTATAGTTTTGTTTTTTCTACATTACCTCTCTTAAATATTTTACGAGAGAAACAAATTGCCACGAATAACTTAGTTATCGTACTTTTATTTGTAACTTTTGTTATCGGATTGTTGATAAATGCAGATTTCTCGGGTGCGGGCGTAGAATGCAGATTTTCAAAGTACTTTCAAGCGCACATGCGCAATAAATAACTGCATGTATATGGATGCTAGAAATCTACGCAAACAAGTCGTCCTGCATTCTTAATTTGTTTGCCAAAGGGCAAACAAGAGTAAGAGAAAGCGATACGGGAAAATAGCAATAGATAGGAAATCCGTTTTGTATGAAAATTCGTTTGCATAACGAGGCAGTTTTTTTTGGAAACGTCGGCCACTCGTTATAAAAAACGAAGATATTTCTAATGCAATTCCAAATTTTTGTCTTAAAATTAATTGTACATGCATAATACATAACATATTCCAGCTGCCAGATTATTTTAAACTAATGAATTTCGCTCACGCTGTATGCAATTTGCGAAACGTCGTATACGTTTCCCAACTTAACGAAACTTTCTTTTTTACACAGAATACAGATTGCGATTTTAAACTAAATCGTCATTTTTATCTTATCTGGCCTTCAGGTTTTCAAGTATAAATGTTTTATATACGGAATTTAGACATTTCTGTAATTTAAAATTAATTAATTGTAACAGATACTTGTAACAGCATCCTATATTATTATTTTTAATTAACGGTTAATTCTCTCTTTTCTTTTTATTTTATCCTTTCATCAAATTTTTCACAAGGAATACATTTGCATTTGAAAGAAAAATATTTGCATTATTCGCAAAACTTTCATCGTGCAATATTATTTTTGCCTTTTCTATGAAATCTCGCGTATTATTACAGTATTGTGTTACTATCTTTTGCTTTTCACATAAATATCGCTTTTTATATAAATATTTCAAATAAATATTTTAATGTATTTTGGAATTACCGAATTTTTTGTCGCTCATCAATCATTGCGCGTTTGTTGAAACGAGCGTCATCAATTGTAGTAAGAAGTAGAACGAGTAATTTTATGGTCCGACATGTGAGCGCGTCGTCTCGATTTACCGTTTCCACGCTTGTGATTCTCGCATTTCCTAAATAAATTCAAATATTTTAAAAAATATCTTAGAAAAGCACACATATTAATGATTCAAGTATTAAATAAATCAATCTAGATATCAAATAATTTTGTGTCAAGAACGAAAGCTATAAAATCATTAGAATTATTTATTTATATTAAAATTTCAATTCTGTATGAATCTCATGAGCAATGAATACTGTAATGAATCATTTAGCGTGACAATTTTACGGATTGCAACATGTCTCATGTTTCCTTTGAATCACCTGAGCGCACTGTCAGCCAATCTCGATAAGCCACAATGTCGGCTAGTCTCATCAATCTCGATGATCTGCATGTTGTTCTTTCCAGCTCGTTTATCAAATGTGAAAAAAGTAGAGAGGATGTGTGAACATCCCGCATCTGACTCTCCTCTTCTTTTCGGCAATCCACGATCTCTTCCCCGACGAAATATAATAACATCGGTAAACATCGGCGAGACGAAATAATTAGTTTACGTTGATACCTATATATATGACTCGACCGCGTTTGACATATGTCGTATGTGACATATCGTATATATGTCGGGAGAATATAATCTCGGACGCGGGGAATATCGCTTTCTCCTTGAGACAACACGACGCGACGGCGACGTCGTCGTCCTGATGAAAGAACGCGATTCATCGAACGGTCCGTTTTCGCGAATCGCCAATAATATTATTTCATGAACAGCAATCCGAAACTTGAAAATACTTATGTAATTTTAAACATTTTTTGATAGCCAATTTTAAATTTTGTGTTTTAATTTACAACACGAGCATTTTTAAATATTTGCAATTTATATAGGATCTGAATCTTTTGGATTTTGATATTGGATACGCTATTTATGGAACGATAACGTTTATTTTCGTAACACGAGAGCAATTTTTCGGTTCGGCTCCACGGGAGAGCGAGCGGTTTTAACTTGCTGACGACATGACTTGCGACACAAGCGTTAACGTCAGACAGCCAATCAGTCATATCGACGAAATACCTGAGAAGGATTGTCGTAATCAGTTTAGAAATTCCGGGAATTTAAGAATTAGAATTACGTATTTAATTAGGATTCCAGTAGTTTTAAATCACAAAATTTTCTCGCGCATCCTTGGAAAAGTCTTAAAAAGTATTAAAAAATTTTTGGACAATTTAGGGTAACAGATATTTAAAAATTAATATTAATTTAAACACGAAACAAAAATAATAACAGAAAAGCTTGAGGAATATTGTCCTCTGGACATTAAATACGGAATATTTCGAGAATTTGAACACCGTGAAATGAGATAATCTCGCAAAGTTCTAGTACTGCCACTTCACCTATTTGAGAAACGTATATCTCTTCGTAAGAGATTAAACTGAACATTTATTAAATGTCATTCTATTTATATAAATGTTATTCTACATGTTATTACATATGCGTTGCTGTAAAAGCTACAAGCATTCATATTACATTATATTAAATTTTCATTTACTTATTTTGTTAAAATTATTTCTAAGAAAAGATATTTGAGAAAAAATAGATTATTGACATTATATACTCAAAATTATTATTATGAGAATATATTTGAAAGAAGATTTGCGTTATAAAGACATCCGTGTGTCTTTTTTCTCTAATTAAAATAAAAGTAAATACGAGCGTCAGCTGAGGCAGTGAATTAAGATGTAAATCAAGGGAAAATGGAATAGGCGGCGGAATTGTTCAATGTAGCGTAACGTTCTAAAAAATGGCAGTCTCATTCAAATGTCGCCGGTTTGTTGAAGTGTCAACGGAGCATTATGTTAAATAATCGCGCGATGACGTGTCATTTGCTACCTAATGTTCTCGCATGTGTTCTTGCATGTGGACGATGTATTTAGAAGTAGCTGACTTCTTTCATGGAACGCGCAATGTAAGGGATGCTGGGCGTCGTATCATAGAACCCGCGCGCGAATTATCATACATCTTGGGCCAGCAATTCATATAATCTGAGATTTTTTAAATAATTCAACTATCATATTTTTGCCTGAAAAATTCTTTACAATATGTTTTTTTGTTATTCTTATAGCAATTATATCAAAGTAAAAAGATATAAATTTTAAGAAATAAAAACCGTTTCAGAATATATAAATTATGGAAAATTGTGTTGAAATAATAAGGTAATATTTATTACAACTGTATATATGTATATTATATATAAAATTATTTATGTAGTCCGTATTTCAATAACAATAATTAATTATTAAAGCATTATATATTAAAAATTTCTTTGACTCATTAAAAAATTAAATATTTAAGGATATCAATATAATATTTGCACCATCAGTTGCTTTTTCATTCACGGATTAAAGATTCATTCAGCAAAATAGTCGACGAGCTCTTTCACAAAGGACCGGATTTCGTTCGTTCATTCATTCATTACTTTACACGCGGTGCCGCCGCGCTTTAATTTCGGAGTATCGCTTTAATGAGCGGCGATGCGGTTACCAACGCGGCGATTGCACGTGACCGAATTTAATTTAACTGGCACCTTCGAGACGGTCGCATAATTTCTCATTCGCCCTATTCTCTCACCTTCGTTTACTCTGTCGCGCACGATGTGCACTTTATTGGAGATGTGATTTATAAGCAGAGAAATTTTCCGCGGAAACCTCTTCTAATTCCCTCCTAAAATTCCGGAAAAATTATCTCTTATTTTGCACTTCTCGAATGTTTAGGGTTTCAAAAATGAGTTACCAAGACAAAACCATCGTTTTTGTGTCTAATTTCTATATTATATTAAATATAAGCGTTCGCGGGGGAGCTTATGAAAATTCAGTGCGCGAGAGAGAAGATTTTCACACATCGTCGCCTACGTCGCGAACTCCTTTCGTCGCGGAAAGGTCCTTAAACCTAGCCTGACAGATTTCAATAAAAACTTTTTCCAGCGCCTTGAAATATCAGTCGATTCGAATTAACGAGTTTCATTCATCCGTCATTGTACCCGTCGGATGATAAAGTAAACGTCGCGAATCGCGAAGTCGACTTAACTAATTGTCAGAGATAATATTCGGTTTCGAAACGTCGCATGCAGCTACACGCGTTATCTCGGCATTTTGCCGGAGAAGGGCGGTCTGCAAATGTTAACGGAGTTTGTACAAGAGCGCGCGGTCTACGTTGACATTATTTGTCGACGGATTTGAATTAAGGATCAAAGGTTGTACGCACAATGAATTTGCGCGCTAAGTCGAGGACCACGAGAGGATACTGAGGAGCGAAAACATTTCCTACCGGTACTTTCGCGATACCAAATACCGCGCGCGCTTTTCGTGGGAATAAACGTTTAAACTATAGTCATGAAGATATTCGGAGTCGGGTGTTGTAGAGAACGCGTGATGATGTGATAATTAAGTAGGTCGCGTTTAGCGAAAGACAAAAGAAAACGGCGTTTCATTTTTAATCGCTGTAATAATAACGAATACTCTTCTACCAAGAGTGCAAGAATATAATACTCTTCTAAAAGAGTGCAAGAAGAATCTTGTTTCAAAATTCACATGTTTTACGTTAACACGTCAAATTGCATAAGCAGATGCAAATTTTAATACGTACACACATACGAAATTCAAAGAAGGAAAGCTTCCAGAGAGATTTCTTCAAAAAGTTATGCTAATTCGTGTATCTTTTACTCAAATCTATTTGGCAGTTTTTATTTTTGAAAAAAATTATGTGATAAATTAATAAGTTAAACTGACTCTAAAGTTACTAAACCTTTGCTTAAAATTTTTTAGTAAGAAGTTTAAGATAAAATTAAAATAATGTTAATAATGTTTTATTTAATATATAATATTTTATATAAATTAATATAACTGGAAGATAAATAAAAGTTGGCGAGAGAATACATCTAACTTAAAAAAAAAATTTTAAAAAATGATATATTATTACTATATTAAACCGAGTTACGTATAGCAAGTGGCATTTCTTCGGTCATAACAGCGAAAACTCTTGCTTAAACTGAGCTCGCACGAAGCCGCGTATTACGTATACACGCGCGGCTTTGTGTCTAAGTGTTTTCCTACGATTTCGTATATAATAAACTTTTCTCTCGATTTTTTTCCGTCGCGCATATATGAATCAATCGCCCACGCGGACAGCTTTTCATTTCGCTCGTGCACTGCATTCGCCCGAAGGAAACCGTAAAAGGCCCCCGCGGTGAGCGAGTCGATGCGTTTTTCTCGTGAAAGACACGCTCGAGATATTACGACGGAAACGAAATTGGGAGGAAGAAAAAAATAGAATGCCGATCCGGCGGAAACACGAGGCAATCGGGACGCGACTTCGTGCTGCAGGGGGTCAACGATCAAGTTTTAATTGGTTTTAACCGAAGGGAAGATAAATCGACCATGTTGCAGATTATTTTGTTGTCGCAGACCGCGTCAGATTGCTCTCGTTTTAACAACAAATCGGAACCCATTAATTAGTATATAAATAAAATGTAAATAAAATGAAAACGACCGAAATACACACGTCTGCATGTGTATATATGTGAGAGCTGCCAACGTATCGCAAATAGTAAGAGAGTAGATAAACTTTGCTCGACATTTAATGTCCCCCGGATAGACGTTCACGTTGATAAAATTTTTAAGCAAGCTTAGAGACGCAGAAAAATTCGTTACGTATCTCAGGAATTATGGATGGCATCCAATTGAACTTCCGCTTTAGGAAGTTTATATTGGCGAGAAGACTCTCGACAGAATGAAGAAAACACGAAGAATTTTGATATATACTCAACATCTCCGTCGTCTCTTCGCTGCACGCCTTCTTTATTGCGCGATCAAGTAAATAGAGAACAAAGAGGGACCGTTGTGACGCGATGTTGAGAAGGCATGAGATTAATTTATCAACTGTGCCAGGATATTTCATTGAAATGAAGGGAGAGAGAGAGAGAGAGAGAGAGAGAGAGAGAGAGAGAGAGAGAAAGAAACGCAGCAGAAAGGTAGAAATTCTTCAGTCTGTTTTTAGTCGCTATATTGAAAGTGCACTCTTACTTTATCCTTTACAAGAGGGATAACAAAATACAGAACGCGGAGAATGTCGAAAGCAACTTGTATCTCGCGAATTTTATCTCTTAATCTCGCGACGTGCTTATGTGTATCTCGGAAATTGGTGCATTCTAATTGCAATTAAAAGTCGCTCAAGATTCCGCTGATGTGCCTTCAATTCGAAATACTCTCGTACGATCGTTTCGGTATCGATTATCTGTTAACAACGGCATTGCGCGCAAACACTACACGCATGTACGCGTACACTTCATCCCCCGTGACGCCAGAACGATTCTCTCCTCGTAAAACGATAAGCGAAGGCACGACGCAACGGGCACGACGACGATCGTGGCGTGTATAACGCGCCACAGTTTGATTTGCGATTATACGGCGACGATTTTTTTTTTACGCATTTTCCTGGCAACGAGCGATAAACCTTTATCATCCGCCTTAATATGAGCGAAGTAGCTTCTCTTGTAAGCGGTGGAAGAGAGAATTTACAACTTGCCT